GGCATGGATTGACTACAAAAAGGCATTTGACTCTCTGCCACATGATTGGATAATAAAGTGCCTAGAAATAACAGGAGTCAGTAGAAACATCAGAAAATTTGTGCAAAGATCGATGGCACAATGGAAGACACAGTTGCAGATCAATGGTGAGAAGCTGGGAGAGGTTAATATCAAGAGAGGAATATTTCAAGGAGATTCATTATCACCATTACTATTTGTTATTGCACTGTTTCCTCTGTCAACAATACTGAATAACTCAGGACATGGCTATCAAACATCAAAAACATCTGCCAGACTATCCCACCTCCTTTACATGGATGATCTGAAGCTGTATGGAAAAACATCATCTGAAATAGAATCGCTGCTCAACACTGTCCGTATATATAGCCAAGATATTGTAATGGAGTTTGGCTTGGACAAATGTGCCACACTTACTATCAAACAAGGAAAAATAGTGAAAACTGAAGGAATCAAGATGCCCCACGAAAATAACATTAAGAGTCTGGATGAGGAAGAGTACTACAAATACTTGGGTATCCTTCAAGCTGACAACATCAAGCACACTGAAGTCAAGAAAAAGATTAGAGGTGAATACATCAAGAGAGTGAAGAAGATCTTAAAGTCCAAACTCAATGGAGGAAATACCATAAAGGCAATCAACATCTGGGCAATCCCAGTCATTAGGTACACAGCTGGAATAGTGGACTGGACTCAAGCAGAACTAAAAGCAATGGATAGGAAGACCAGAAAAATAATGACAATGAATCATGCCCTTCATCCACGCAGTGACATTGATAGACTTTATCTACCAAGGCAAATAGGTCGGCGTGGAATGCTACAAGTACATCAGATGGTTGAAGAAGAAAAAATGGCTTTGGAAGAATATCTGAAGAACAATGATGAAGATGCACTGAAATTAGTATATCAGGAAGGTTTACTAACTACTGGAGAGACCAAACTGGCCTACAAGAAAGACCAAATGAAGAACAGAATAGAGGCATGGGAAGACAAAGCACTACATGGCCAATACATGAAAAAAATAGCTGGGAAAGCAGATAATAATAAAACCTGGCAATGGCTAAGAGCAGGAAAATTGAAGAAAGAGACCGAGGGACTAATTCTGGCTGCACAAGACCAAGCCTTAAGGACAAATGCATACAAAGTCAAAATTGAGAAGACAGCAACAGACAGTAAGTGCCGCCTATGCAAAGAAGCTGAAGAAACAGTGGACCACTTGGTAAGCTGTTGCAAGAAGATTGCACAGACTGATTACAAGCAGCGGCATGACAAAGTAGCAACAATGGTGCATTGGAAGATCTGCAAAAAATATCATTGCCTGTAAGCAAAAACTGTGGGATCATAAAATAGAGAAAGTCATAGAAAATGATAAAATTAAACTGCTCTGGGACTTCAGAATTCAAACAGACAAGCACCTGCAACATAACACCCCAGACTTAACAACTGTCGATAAGAAAGACAAAAAAGTCTGGATAGTGGACGTGGCAGTGCCGGGAGATAGCAGAATAGAAGAGAAAGAACTGGAGAAGATAACAAAATACAAAGACCTATAAATAGAAATAGAAAGACTGTGGCAAAAGCAAGCAAGGGTAGTACCAATAGTCATAGGCTCCTTGGGTGCAATCCCAAAACAACTGGAGCACCACTTGAACACCATTGGCATTGACAAATTCGCTATTAGTCAATTGCAAAAGGCGGCCTTATTAGGAACTGCTTCCATCCTGCGACGATATCTGTAATACCATCAAACATCCACATCTGCCTATCCCAGGTCCTGGGTAAGGACTCGATAGGTAGACAAAATGCCAAATCCAGTCTGAACATCTGGCTGACTGTGCGATGATTAATAATAATAATAATAATAATAATAATAATAATAATAATAATAAGAAGAAGAAGAAGAAGAAGAAGAAGAAGAAGAAGAAGAAGAAGAAGAAGTAGAAGAAGAAGAAGAAGAAGAAGAAGAAGAAGAAGAAGAAGAAGAAGAAGAAGAAGAAGAAGAAGAAGAAGAAGAAGAAGAAGAAGAAGAAGAAGAAGAAGAAGAAGATAGAAGGGACCTTGGAGGTCATCTAGTCCAACCCCCTGCTCAGGCAAGAAACCCTATACCAGTGGTCCCCAACCCCTGGTCCGTGAACCAGGCAGCACACGAAACCATGGAAAAAAACTCTCTCCACGTAACTGGTCCCTGGTGCCCAAAAGGTTGGGGACCTCTGCTTTCAGCTTTCTGACAATTTCAAGAAACATTTAGACAAGCTAACCAGAGTTTTTTTTGTACGTAGTTTGTAAGCCTTGGTTTATTGTTTAGCTCAATGTGTTAATTCAGACTTTAGTGGCTTATTCAATAAATCGTGGGGTAAGCAAACGAGACCTCGATGCATTGTATGAATCAAATCTTTTGGCTGCAGAGAATTTTTTTCCCCCGCATTAACTTCTTTGCTTGAAGCATCCCGAGGAGATTTCTCACGGTACCAAACTCCAGATCTGCAAGGACCGTTGCTGGTAGCTGGAAGTCACCAAGCAACTTTAAAGAGAACCCACCCATTTCCCCAACAGGACCCCTTACCGTTTCAGACAAACGGCTTGGTGCAAGCCGTGCTAGTTCCCTCCATGGAAGCCAAAGTGGACTTGTGAAGAAGAAGAAGGCAACCATCGCCTCCGGAACGTGGCGCTGGAGGAAACCGAACTCGCGGCAATGAGGGACTTGACTTGGCCCGCGACTGCAAGGGCAAAAAGGGCTGGAACGAGGACCGCCTTTCCGACTCACCTCCGCCCTCCTTCGGAAAACGCTGGAGCCCGCGGGTGAGCTGAGGCTGGGGGGGGGGGGGAACGGAGGGTCGCCGAGCCGAGTGGGAGCGAGTGGGCCTCGGTCCGAAGGGCGGGCGAGGGATTTGGCCCTCTCGACCCCCCCCCCCCTTCTCCTTCCAGACCCGCGGGAGGCGGTAATCCGTAGGCAGAGAAGGGAAGGGAGCTGCTGCGTGGCCGGAGAGCGCGGAGAGGCCGTCTGGGCGGGGAGGCTGTTTGACGACCGCGCATTGCCTTGTAGGGCAGGGGTAACTGCAACCGGGACAGCTTTAAGACTTGTGGACTTCAGCTTCCAGAATTCCTCAGCCAGAATTCTATGCTATGCTGGCTGAGGAATTCTGGGAGCTGAAGTCCACAAGTCTTAAAGTTGTCAAGGTTGCAGATCCCTGGTGCAGAGCATCCCGTGTCTCGCCTTCGCATCCGCCGTTTCGGCAACCGAGTAGATGGCCCGGCGCGTTAGGCGAGGCGCGGGCGGGGCTTCAGGCTGGCCGTGCAGACTCCACGCGTTTCTCCGAAGGCAGAAGCTGCACTCGGGCGATGCAGCAGCCTTCGGGAATTTTAAGATCGATGACATTTTAGTTGTTGATTTTTGTTTTGTTTTATTTTGTTTTGTTTTGCTTAGCATCTGCGTGTTTCCAGCTCCATTGGGTTTTGGTTCAGCAGCGGATACTGAAAACAGGTGAATTAAGGTACGGCCGTTAAGTGAATCCAACTGGGGTCCCATGAATAGCAATCCGTCATAGGGCTGGATTGGGGAGGTTCAGCCTGTTTGAAGTGCTGTGATGTCAAAAGTGGAGAAACTCTTGGGGAATGGCGAAAGGGGACCCAGCAGCCTTAGGACAGGGATCCTCAACCCCTGGTCCCTGGACCAGCACCAGTCCGCAGCATGCCAGCAAGAGGGTCCCACAAACAAGCAAAACTCCACCCTCGGGATGCAGGCAGTATTCAAAACCACACTCCCTCTGGTCTAGGAAAAACCTTTCTCCATGGCACCAGTCCCTGGTGCCCAAAAGGTTGAGGACCTCTGCCTTGGGAAGCCTTTGAAGCTCTGCTGCAACTCCCCCCCCCCCAGGCTTATTGAGGCAGAATAAAACATTGAGGAATTCGGAATTAAAAGACAGGGAATGCATCTTTTATATGTCCTCTGTCTTTTTCCTTCCTTTCTATGGTCCCCAGCATTGCTAAATTTGCTGGCCTGAAGGAGCCGCACTTCTTGCAAAGCCCAGCATGGATTCTCCTGTGATCAGGGGCCCAGAGTCCTTGCCTTCCACTGCTCAGACTGCCAATCTTCCCATCCCAGTGAAGAACATTTATCAGGGCAAACCTCTGGCCCTGGGGGGGAGTATGGAGATGAGCGGAATGACGGTGCCTCTCTTGTTAGAAATGATTCATATTTATATGTTACTTACATGTAAGGGTCTAGGACTAGGTTGTATACTGCTTTCGAGGCACAGGATCCGCTGCTGAACCAAAACCCAACGGAGCTAGAAACACTCAGATGCTAAGCAAACAAAAACAAAAACCAACAACTCAAACATCATCGATCTTAAAATTCCCAAAGGCTGCTGCATCGCCCAAGTGCAGCTTCTGCTTTGGACGAAAGCAAGTCAGGTGAACTCTGGCTGTTTGCAGTCGATGAAACACTGGCAGAAATCACATTCTGATAAATGACAACAACCTAAAGAAACATATAATGAGATTTTAAGCCACTTGTTTGCATGCATTTCTCATTCCACAGTTCAGAATAGAAATTCCCAGCTTGCCAACAGCTTCTTGAATGCTTCTATCTCTCCTTGTTTCAAATAAGGCTCAGAAACACTTTTGGTTCCATTGCCAAGAGGAATCTGGATAAAGACATCACTTCCTCTCTTTAAAGCAACTGCATCCTTTTCTGGTTTAACATGGCTGGTGCTGCTTCCCCAGAAAGAAATGCTTCATACGGTCTCACAAGTTATTATTATTATGCCTGATCTTTGTTAACTGTGGACACATTGCAGCATCTGGGTATCTTTTAAGCCTTCCACACTCTTCTTTGCTGTTAAGCACCAGGGCCGGCAAAATGAGAGAGAAAAGAGAGAGAGTATCCCAAACAATGAGACACACACACACACACGCACACATCCCTATGACCCTCTTTATTTCTGTGGAACTTAGAGAAAATAAAAACAGCAAGCCATATGTGCTCAGCAGCTTATTTTTATTAGTTTGGAGTGCAGTCTTGCCTAAAATAAAACAGTGAGATAAGCTGGATGGGCAGAAGGCAGCCTTGATGGAAAGTCGAGTGGCAAGGAAACAAGTTTTCTCTTCTGTATACATTTATATCCTGTCTTCATTATTTTTATAAATGATTTAAGGCAGCAAACATAGCTAATATTCCTTCCTCTTCCAGCTTTCCCCACAACAACCCTATGAAATTAGTTGGGCTGAGAGAGAGAATGGCCCAGAGTCGCCCAGCTGGCTTTTCTTTATAAGGCGGGACTAGAACTCACAGTCTCCTGGTATCTTAACCACTAGAACAAACAGGTTAAAATTTTAAATTATGGCTATAAATTTGACTCTTTAGTTTTCATTGGAATATATGGCTGCTGAAGGCTTCCCAGGGTCACTGTTACATCCCACAAATCAAATTCTGGAGTGTGTTGCAAGCATTAGATGATTTCACACAACTAGCATAATTGGTTGTATGAGTGTAGCTGAGTGCAAAAAAATATTTTCCTAAGTTCTGTTGAAGTAAGCTTTGGATTTTGTCTAATCTGTGACACAACCATTGTAAAGTGGAAACTATAGCTTATCCCTAATGTGTTGTATAAACTCGACCAATTGTGCATTTTCCAACAGCAAAACGTAACAAGGTTGGTACAAGGTGCCAACCAGTTCACAGAGACATGTCTTAACCAGCAATCAAGAACATTCACATTGTCAAGATCTTTTACACATGGTGTTTGGCTTAGCCCACTAAATATTTCAGGTTCTGCTGAGGAAAAAGTTCCGTGCAAATCCTTAAAAAGCTCAAGTCTTCAATTTTGCAGGAGCCAATGTATTCCAGAATAGCTGCCAAGAAGGAAAAGCAACTCAAGGGAACTCTGGCTGTTTGCAGTCGATGGATGGATGTTCAACACTGGCAGGAGTCACATTCTCATAAATGACGACAACCTAAAGAAACATATAATGAAATTTTAAGCCACTTGTTTGCGTGCATTTCTCATTCCACAGTTCACAATACAAATTCTCAGCTTGCCAACAGCTGCTTCAATGCTTCTGTCTCTCCTTGTTTCAAATAAGGCTCAGAAGCACTTTTGGTTCCATTGCCAAGAGGAGTCTGGATAAAGACATCACTTCCTCTCTTTAAAGCAGCGGTTCTCAACCTGTGGGTCGTGACCCCTTTTGGGGTCGAATGACCATTTTAAAGGGGTCGTCAAAGTCCTGGAGTTTTTCCTCATAGAATCCTTATGAAACGCAGTCTGGCTTTTTTTTTTTTTTTTTGGTTTTTTCCCCCTTTTTCATGAGCTGTGCTACTCCCTCTTATTCTATTGGCTTTCGAACGCTAATAGAATAGACTCTGTTGAATAGAGTCTAATTCTATTGGCTTTCAAAAGCCAATAGGAATTGTCCAGGCTGTCTCTGCCCTGCCGAGCCCGCCAAAAGTCCCAGTCGGCAAACGTTGCTGCAAGTTGTCTGCTGCTAAGGCAAGCGTTCTGGAAGTTTCCACTTCTCCCTGCTGAGCAACTACTAAATGTAAGTAAAAGAGGGCCAGGGGTGGGAGGGCCGCCCAGGAGCGCCTGGGCCTGCCTGCCGCCACATTGAACGGGCAGTGGCCATGGTGAGGCTAGCGGGGCAGCGGCGGGTGCTGGGAGGGTAGCTGATGCGCATGGGGCCCGGTGAGTGGCTTACCTTCCTTGGGCTGGGCCAGCTGGTGGCCCAGCCAGTAGTCGGCCTGCGTCGTTGCTGCCACTGGCCATGGCCACCCAGGAGCACCTGGGCCTGCCTGCCGCCACACCGAATGGGAGGTGGCCAAGGTAAGGCTAGCGGGGCAATGGCGGGCACTGGGAGGGTAGCTGGCACGCATGGGGCCAACTCTCAGCTGGCTGTCGGGAGCCGGGCTGTACTCCTGGGGGCCATGTGGATGTTGGCTGGCTGCTGGCTGCGTCCTCCCCGTCTGCCGGCTCATGGCAAACCCAGGGGCTCGAAACGTGCCCCCGATGCCGCCCCGGGCCGGCTCAGCTGCGTGGGCAGCCGGTTTGAGCCGAGCCAGGTCTGGGCCACTGCTGGCGCTGCCACTGGGCTGCTCTACCGCTGTCACCGCTGCTGGGGCTGGCAGGCAAGAGCAGCTCCTTCCTGGCTCGCCGGTCTCCGGGCCTTGGAAGCGGCCAGGCGGCGGGGAAGAGGGCAATGCCCGCATGTGCATCAGAGGCCAGCCGGACGGGCCAGGAGGGGAGAAGAGGCACCTTCCGAGCAGGAGCTGGCACTCTGGCTGCACCCCTCTCGCGTGTGACAAGTCGGGGAAGGGTTTGGCGGTGAAGGTCTGCGCAGCATGGAAAGGGGCTCCCATGATCCCGCCACTGCGATGGCACTCAGGAGGCTGGAGGGGCGGGCAGGTCCTGGGGGGGGTGGCTGGTAGAGAGCAAGAGGTGCTGGGATGAGGATGGGGGGCTCCAGACTACCATCCCCAGCAGCCCTAAAAAGCACTGTGGAAGAGTGGGGAATGCTGGAAGTTGCAGTTCATCACCATCTGGGAAAACATGACTCTCCAAAGATCCTTCCTTCCTTCCTTCCTTCCTTCCTTCCTTCCTTCCTTCCTTCCTTCCTTCCTTCCTTCCTTCCTTCCTTCCATCTCCTTCCCTTCCCCTTCAATCTCTCCTTCCTTCCTTCCTTCCTTCCTTCCTTCCTTCCTTCCTTCCTTCCTTCCTTCCTTCCTTCCTTCCTTTCCTCTTCAATCTCCTTCCTTCTCCATCTCCTTCCTTTTCCCTTCAATCTCCTTCCTTCCTTCCCTCCCTCCCAACATTTTTGAGCAAGGAAGAGTAAGCTTTTCCAGCCAGCATTGCTATATTGTTTTTGTGATTAATCTGTATGCTTTAATTATGTTCAGTTCATAACAATGAAAATATACCCTGCATATCAGATATTTACATTACGATTCAAAACAGTAGCAAAATTACAGTTATGAAGTAGCAACTAAAATAATTTTATGGTTGGGGGTCACCACAACATGAGGAACTGTAGTAAGGGGTCACGGCATTAGAAAGGTTGAGAACCACTACTTTAAAACAACTGCATCCTTTTCTGGTTTTACATAGCTGGTGCTGGTTCTCCAGAAAAAAATGCTTCATATGCTCTCACACATTTTGGGGATTCTACCTGAAGTGTTGCCTGGACTGTGTGCAGATGAGGGGGTACTTATTGTCAATTTTATTATTATCAAACTCATTTGCTACCCATCTTCCAGTCTGAGGCAACTCTAAGCAAGTCTTAGTTAGAGATGAAAGTTGAGCTCACTGAGATAGGTAAGGTAGTTTGTTTCCGTTAGGTTTATCACAATATGAGAATCAACCATAACTTGGGATTTGCAACATAGCATACTGTGTGAAGCCAAATGATTGTTTTGTTTCTTTGACAGCACACTTAATACAGTGTATAAGCTGCCGTAGAAACTAAGCTTATTGGCCAGCATTTGTTTCTGAATCTGCTTCTCTTGATTAACTACCCTTCTTCCTTTGGAATCTTACCGTTTCAGTGAAGGTATTTTGGCAAAGCATTTTACAGCCAAATGATGCGACAGAGATGGTGATGCAAAACTCCAGGGTGTTGAACATAATAAGAACAGCCAAAATTCCTTGAAAGATACGCTATCGATGAAGTAGAAGAGAAACATATCTATTTTTATAAATAGAGATAGGCATATGTATCTCCAGTTCTAGAGTAAGAAAGATGACCTGGATTAGATATGCAGGCTCTGTTTTGCCTGGGCAAAAGGGAAGAAGAGGTGTTTTTTTTAAGTCGAGAGCAATGAAATAGTTCAAGAGTAGCTCAGGTCAACACCTACAGTAGTGGCCAAAATTGTGGCAACCTTTTGGGAAAAGTGTACAGTAGAAATGACACCTTTGGTTAAGTTTCCACCAATTTTTCTTCCAATTTCTTTATAACTGTAGTCTTGTTCACTTAATAATACTATTTTACATCAATCTGGGCAACCAGTCAACTCTTTGGACCATTAATTTTATTATGTTTTACAAGCTCACTAAATGAAAGAACACAAAAAATCCCAACCAACTTGATAATGATCACATAACACACTGACAATGTCCTCCTCTCAGCTTCAATACATGACATCAGTAACTGAATCCTACTGTGATCTGTTTGGCTCATTGACAAAACAACATGACACCTGATTGGCTCTCTAAACACTCACGCTCATTGGCTACAATCAGATGAAGGAAAGCTACCTGATATCAACCTAAGCAAGTTATGCTTCCTTTTTCTGATTATTTGGCTATACCTTTTCATAAAATATAGTACAGATAATTGAACAAACTTTGTTGCATTACATTCTTGATTAAATTATCTTTCCGTTGATATATAATTTTATGGTACTACTCAAAAAAAGTGGTGTTATTAGCCATCAAACCTCAAAAATACACTTTTCCCAAAAGGTTGCCACAATTTTGGACACAACTGTAATTCAGGGAGGAGGGACAGCCCAAACAGCAGTGCATGTTTCTGTTATTACAGCCAATTTCAATAACATTAATAGTAGCTTTCCTGCAGAGATGGTTTACTGGTCAGTTGTACCCAGGGTTTTTTTTCTCATAGAACGCCCAGAATGGAGTTCTGGCACTTTTTTGGATAGAACCTTGTAGGGTAGGCAAGGCAGGTTATATGACATGTGTGAGTTCCAGCACCTTTTTTTTTTTTTTTTTTTTTACAAAAAAAGCACTGGTTCTACCTCATCAGACTGACTAATACATCCTAAGTAGCATAGCTAGCACCTAGTGAAGGTGGGACCCATTGAAATCATCTAGTCTGGTCGTAGTCCACACAACAAAAACTGCAAACTACATTTTTGTGAAACAAAGAGTTAACATTTGATTTAAAAAAAGTGAAATGCCAGGCACAACAATTCCATTAAAACTCTGGCAAAACTCTGCCATTTTAATTCTTAGCCATGCCTTGAAGACATCACTCTTGAAGCTATTCTGAAAAGATTGGGAGAAAGAAAATTAGAGCAGGCCAAACTCTTGAAACCCACAAGACAACATTTCTGTCCCTCCATTCCATGGTTAAAACTCTGTTTGAGAGATATTTTTGACCCCACCATGTCCCTCCAAAGATTTGCATGTCCAGCTAGAGGTCACCGTGAGCTCCCTTTGCCTTCTCTGTCCTACTGAGGCCAACTTTTTAGATGAATTCTGGAAGGTCACAGACTTACAAGAGTTTCAAAACACTTTTCCTCATAATTGTGTTCAAATTCACGGCAAAGGAACATGAAATTATATGAAAAGGGGTAGATGATACTGGAAGACAGCAATGTGATGCCAATACCAGCTGATACAGCACTTATCACATTCATTGCCAGCGCACCTTGCACCTAGGAGGAATAAAACTAATTAATAAACATACAAAAATGGGCGCACACACATGAAGAGATTCAGATGGTTTTGTGCTCTGAATTTGCTTCAGACTTTTACTCTCTACACCAGGGGTTCCCAACTGGGGATGCTTGCACCCCCTTAGGGTGCAAGAGGATATTCAGAGGGTGCAAAAACCTGGGTTTAGAAGTTTCAAAATTATAATGTATATACACCATTTTTTGTAAGGGATGCGAGAATATATCAGAAGTGTTCTAGGGGTGCGGGGTATAGAACTGCTGCTCTAAACCCTCAGGTATGGCTGAATTCCCTTCATGTTGTTCTTAAGTAGTGCAACTGCCTCATCTAATCAGAATATTCAGTTGGAAATTGAGACAAAGAACCTCTTTGCCAAATGTTAGCATAAAATGACCCACAAAACACCTGGAGTTTCCAAAAAGGGAATTCAGGACAAGAATTTGGAGTGGAGAGGCTCTTAAACAACAAGCCAGAATCATCATGATGCACCAATAGATGTTAATGATCCAGGAACATCATAAGATTGGCAATCCAGGAGCTTGTAGCTCTCCAGGGCTTCAGATGAGAGGTTTTTTTTCCCAACCTTTCTTGAAGAAGGGGGAGATCATGGCCAGGATCCCAGAGATGGAGGGTTTCTGATTTAGCTATGTCGTTCACTTGGGTCACATGGGTTAATTACCAGAGGGATCTTGGGATTCCGAGCAGCTGCCACAGCTAAGGATCCAGAGATGATGTACTGGAAGAGAAAGAAAAGCAAGGGAACCACAATGGCTACATGCCCAGAGAACAATGTAGACCCATAATTTCTCTCTCTCCCACCTTAAATTCCTGCCTACTGTTCTCTGATTATCTGTTGTGCTGAAACTCAATCAACGTTCCCTATTCCAGTTGAAGATGCAGCTGATTTGAGGCATTAAAGAAGGAGCTACAGTCACAGGCATTTTACTTTATGTAGCACTGCAGTAGTATTCAGCATTTTCCCCATGTTGTTATGGCAAGGACACAGCTCTCCAGCGGCTGTGAACAACTCTCAGACTCAGAAGTTGAATGAAACCACTCAGAAGTGTAGCCCTGAATGGCAACTGATATTCAGAGTGATTATCTGAGCAGTCCTCACCCACCAAAATTGAGTTGGGCAACTTGGTGCAGTTATTAAGTGTTATGTGACACGATTGTGTTGACTTATACTGACAGTTCCAGATGCAGTAATAGAGTGAATCAAATAAGTCATTAAGCACAAATTCACGTGGATGTGACTTGCAACCTGTTGCGGCCGTAGCTTCCCCATTGACTTAACTTGTCAGAAGCCGATGATGAAGGCTGCAAATGGTGATCTGATGACTACGGGATGCTAAAGCCACTGTAAATGCACACCAGTTGCCAAGCAACCAAATTGCAATCGCGGAGACATTGAAGACACTTTGATGGTAAGATGTTTGAAAACCGGTTCCCCCCCCAATACACACATTGTGATTTGAAATGATCGCTGAATGAGCTGGTTGATAAGTGAGGAAAGAGAGTCAATGTAATAACTTCTATTAAGGTTTGTAATCTCTCAGTTCAGCAGTTTTCTGAAATCTGGAGAACAGACATAAGGCACAAACTGGAACTAGCCAATCTGCTGAACTATAGCATCCTTCAGGTAAGACCGGTTTGCCCTGAGGCTGCAGTGATGTGCGTTTGGATCCCTGGTTGGGCTGTTAACCTTTTTAAACACAGCATTATATAAAATTACCAAGATGCCACTCCAATAAGCGATCTTTATAACACTATAGATGATGAAATAATCATTCATTATATCAAGCAGGATCCCAAAAATCATTCCTATGATTCCTATGAATATCTGTGTGATCTGGAAAAGAGAGAGAGAGAAATCACAAGATCAGTGATAGTCAGGAGTTGAGAACCAACAAAATTCCAAATGTCCCTGAACCAGGATTTTTTTGTTGTTTTAATTTTATTTTTCTAGGCCTCATGCTCACCTCAAGACAACCTTAAGGGGGAGAGGGTATATACTTCTTAGCTGCTACATTAGCTGGCCAATAAAACAAATGGATCAAGAATATTCATACAGTATGTACAGTACACAGCAAAGAATCCTCCTAGTCCTATTGCAACAGAACAGGGGATCCGGAGATTTGCAAAACACGAGGAGGAATCGTCATTCCATTTCTCTCCATACTCACCCCCAGGGCCAGAGGTTCACCCTGATAAAATTTCTTCAGTGGGACTGGAAGATCAGTCTGAGTGGTGGAAGGCAAGGACCCTGGGACTAGAGGAGCATGCATGCTGGGCTTTGCAAGAAGGGCGGCTCCTTTAGGTCAGCAAAGTCAGCAATGCTGGGGACCATAGAAAGGAAGGAAAAAGAGAGAGAATGTAGAAAAGACATGATCCCATCTTTTAATTTCCCATTCTCAATTTTGACTTTGTATGCATTTGTCCTTAAGGCTTGGTCTTGTGCAGCCAGAATTAGTCCCTCGGTCTCTTTCTTCAACTTTCCTGCTCTTAATCCATTGCCAGGTCTTGTTAGTCTCTGCTTTCCCAGCTAATTTTTTTAATGTATTGGCCATGTAGTGCTTTGTCTTCCATGCCTCCATTCTGTTCTTTATTTGGTCTCTTGTAAGCCCGTTTGGTCTATTATTATTATTAGGTTTAGTATTAGTAGTATTTGTATTATTAGTATTGTTGTTACTGTTATTATATTACTATTATGATTATTAATCATCACACAGTCAGCTAGTCTGGATTTGACATTTTTGTCTACCTATCAAATCCTTACCAAGGATTTGGGATATGCAGATGTGGATGTTTGAATTGATGGTATTACAGATATTGTCGCAGGATGGAAGCAGTTCCTAGTAAGGCTGCCTTTTGCAATTGAGTAATGGCGAATTTGTCAATGGCAAAGGTGTTCAAGTGGTGCTCCAGTTGTTTTCGGATTGCACCTAAGGCAGTTATTACTATTGGCACTGACAAATTCGCTGTTATCATCATCATCATCATCAATCATTATCATCATTCTCATGAAGGGGGATGGGGAGCGACCCGGCCGAGGTTGTCCTATTCGCTCCCGTTCGGCTTGGCGCCCTCCAGCCTCTTATCTTCCCAGCGTTGCCCGACGCCCACCCGGGAAGAGCAGGGTAACTCACCCAGCAGGAGTTTCGTGGAAAGACCGGCGTTCCGGCTCCTTTCCTCTCCCTTAAAAGTTTGGCTAGCTGCTGATAGCTGCGAGGGAGGAGAGCGAGTTCTTCTCTAAGGCCCGAGTTCAAAGGGGTTGCCGTTCTTCCTCTTCTTCCAAAACTCAGTTTTCGCTTCCTTAGACCATTTCAGGGAACAGCCTAGCTTGCATGAGCCTAATCTTTGCAGCTAGAGACGTCACAGCATCTTGGAGCATTTTTTTTAAAGACTTCCAAACTTTTGTTTGCTGTAAAGAACAAGGGAGCTTGCTGGGGACGTTGCAGCCTGTGAAAATGTTTCCAAAATCACAACGCGGTTGCTGCTGCCTTCTAGTTTAGGAAACATTAGCTTAAAGTTTGCCCTGGAGGCTTCTCTCCTTTGAACTGGCGTTCAGGACAGTCCTACCTTTTATAAACTGCCCTATTACGCCGTTCTGGGTTGGTCTTCAGAAATGCCAGGTGACCAAGAAAACGTGACGCATTTCTTTTAAATTCTAAGCAAGCCTTGTTTATGTTCATGCAGGACAGTATTTTGGAAAAGATTGAGAAAAGCTGCTTCAGAATAGACGGGAATGTTAATGTGTGTTTTCTCAGCATTATTGTGCAAGTCTGGGAAAAGCTTCAGCAGCTTTAAAAAAATAGAGATAAGGGTCATAGTTTTCCCACATTATTCCCACTTCCCCTTTAGAAAAGCAGAAGGGGTGAACTCAAGGTACCGAATTTGAAATTATATTATGATGCTGTGGTTTTAACATTAATCAGTGATTGGGTAAATTTAACAAATTTAGAGATACTCCATTTGGAGGGATGGGATTTACTTTTTGGTTGGCATGCCTATTTAATATTTAATAAAAAAGTGGATTGGGCTTTTAAATCTCATATTATAAGGATTTCTTTACTTAGGGTTTGGACAAAATATTATAAAAGTGATTTTAAAATACCATTATGGGCTATACCTTGGCATGCGATAGAGGGGATAAAGAGAGGTGTTAAAATGGATACGGTGTCTTATACACAATTACTTAGATGGGATGGTCAAAATTGGCACTTAAAATCTTTGGAAGATTTAGTACATGAAAATATTACCTATTCCTGGTTTCAATATAGACAATTAGTAGACAGATGGAAGATGGACCGTAACGTGGGCCTGCTTAGAGAAGATGAAAATCTTTTTAAGCAAGTAAAGGATCAAAGACAAACTCACATTAAGAGAATTTATGGGGTGCTAGTGGAACTGGATTCAGAATCAGAATTAATTAAAGATTGTATGATTAAATGGGCGCAGAATTTTGGTGAACCAGTTCTACTGGATACCTGGGAAACTATCTGGGTGAGAAATGTTAAATTTACACAAGCCCAGAATTTAAGGGAGAATTTTTACAAAATGTTTTACAGATGGCACCTCGATCCACAAAAAATGTCTTTTATGTATCCTGACTTACAGCCTAAATGTTGGAGATGTGGCTGTCTGGATGCCACTTACTATCATATTTGGTGGTCGTGTAAAAATATAAAAGCTTTTTGGATTAAGATATGGTGGAATATTCAGAGAATTTTTAGAAAGAGGGTAAAATTTACTCCACAACTGTTTCTGCTTGGTATTGTTACTGATTGTGATGCTAAGGAGGTTATATTGATGTTGAATTTGATTACAGCCGCAAGGCTGTTAGTAGGGCAATATTGGAAGAAGGAATCTTTGCCTACTTTGCAAGAGTGGTTTCTTAAAGTATCTTATTTGACGGAAATGGCAAAGATTTCGGCTTTTCTAAAAGAACAATCGCAAGAAAAAAATTTTGCTGTAAGGGAAAAATGGATAAATTTTATACAATTTAAATTGGATATGAAAAAATATCATTTAGCTTTTTTATAATTTGTATATAAACTCTACTTTTTCTTTTTCTTTTCTTTGTTCTTTTTTTAAACACCTTTTTTAAGGTTTATAATTCTTTTTTCATATATATTTTATTCTTAATTATCTTATAATTCTGTTAATTTCTTTTAATTAAGCCTATATTCTGCTCTGGGAAGCTCCGGGGGGGAGGGAGGGGGTGGTTTGGGAGGGGTTGGGGGAGGGTTGTATTATTTTGTTTTTTTTGTTCTTGTTGTTATTGTTTTTTTCTTTTGTCTTTGTAAAAGTTTTTTAAAAATTTTCAATTAAAAAAAAGAAAGAAAGAAAAGCAGAAGGGAGAAATGACTGTGTGAATTGAAGAATTTAAAAAAAGAGATTTACTTTAAAAAAAGAAATGCTTCTAAGAACAACAGTGATGCAAATTGGAGTGTCTTGGTAAAGTCGGAATAAATAATTATACCATTTTAACTTTTTTAAAAACTTACATCAGAAGCAATTCAAAAAAATCCTGGAGTCCATCATAGACATAGATGTAAACCAGCTGAGAAGTTGGCTGGGCAAGTTGGCTACTTTCCCCCATTTGTTATATTATGTGTTTGTTTTCTGAAGCCCAGAATAGTGTTTCAGTAAAGTGTTTTTGAATGTTGTAATGTTCTTATCCCCACGCCACCCCCCACCCCTGATGGTCAGCAGAGAGCTTGTAAGAGTGAACAGGAGTGACTTTTGGTAAGTACATCTCTTCCTAGTCAAGAAAGCCCCAGGATCAGTTAATTTACCTCTGGAGCCGAATTAATCCTCCATGTTTCCAGTTTAGACAGCTTTAAAATAAATGATAAATTTGCTTTCTGTGGAGTAAATTTTACACTGGAATGCCACAATCTCCTTCAGGTGAGCATTTGCTGGGTTTTCATAGGCTACAGGGGCAATGCTTTGAATCCAATTATACTTCATCTTTAGTTATCAATTATAGAAAACCCCATTTCTGCCTCTCTGGATTCTGTCATACAAGGAAGGGAAGGGGGTGAACAAAGGGGCTTTATGGCCCTCACTTCCTTCGGTACAACTTCAAAGGGATTGAATGTGGATAGCACCAAAAGGCCTTATCATAACAAAGGAGGCTATTACCTTTCATGTAGTTTTCTCTGAAGTCTCCATCCACCCGGCAGAAGGAAAAGGGGTGAGAAATGTAATGCCTGAGACTGTTGCTGGAAGTAGGGGGGGATTGGGTGGGGCTACTGGGAAACCCCTTAAAACCTTGAATGGGAGAGCTTGGACCCTAAGTCCTGTCTAGAACGCCTGCAACCATTTTCTCTTAATAAAGGATTCCTGTTGGTAGAATTATTCCAAGAGTTCTGTCTTCTTAAGATGCAAAGTAGGGTGGGTCCTTACATTAGAGAGGACTTGCAAAATTAATCCACCTGGAAGGGAGACCCTCGCCGGGGGATTTTGCAAAAAATTACCATGTCAGACAATGGAGCAAGAAAGGGGGAAAACTCCCTGGAAAGAGAGCCGCTGACCCAATTGGAACCTTGCCAGATGTTGGGATCCGAGAGGTTAGATTCCTCCGGAGAAGAAGTGGTGGAGACACGGGACCACAAGCCTCGCTGGTCAATGGGCATTGGAAAGAAAAGTGAGTGGAGAAAGGAATCAAGAAAGGTGACCCTGAGACGGGGGACCAAGCAACCAGAATGGAAGCAGGAGATGGAGAAATCCCTGCACGCAAGTGAAGAGGGAGAAAGCTGGGCACCGTACTCAGACTGGACCCTAGAGAAAGCTATTGACCTGATGAAGAGAACTCTCAGCTCCCTAGGAGAGGAGAATCCTGAGCCCTACGGCCGCCCCAGCTCCTGAAGCCTCAAAGGGAGAGACACTGAGGGGAAAGTAGAACCTGCAACCCTGGGGACATCTGCTGATCCAGTAGTCCCCACCCCCTACCGGACCACAGATGGCGATCTGGATGGAAGACACTACCACCAACAACGGAGGCACCGATCCATTCCAAGACGTCCACTGTTGAAGATGAAATTCAAAGGGGAGCCAACACGCTTGGGGTTTTTCCTAATCCAAGTCCTCAGTTACATGGAGGAATACAGGCAGGACATTCCCAGCGACAAAGCCTGCATCCGGATCGTGCAATCTGCCCTGGATGGACCGGCTGCAGATTGGGTGGTGAACTTGCATGACTCCAATGCCCCAGAACTCAGCAACTTCAACCGTTTCATGTCCTCTCTGAGAAGATGATTTGAAGACCCCCTGGCTGATCGCAAAGCCTGTGAAAGGATAAAAATGATGAGACAAGGCAAACGCCCGGTGGCTGAATATACACAAGAATTCCGGGCCATTGCCAGCAAACTGAACTGGCCAGAAGACATCCTCCTTAGCCATTTCAAAGACGGACTAAATTATGATCTATATGATGCTTGCCTGCCCCGAGAGGACCCGCACCAACTTGAGGAATGGTACATCTTGGCAGAGGAACCAGAGATCAACATATTGAAAAGACACTGCTGAGGAAAACAATGGAGCCGCTCCCCGCCTGAGTTGACACACGAACCGGTGAAACCACCGGCTACAGCCAAGAAGCAAATGGGGTGTTTCAAGTGCAGAAGAGAAGGGCATCGAGCTGTAGAATGCCGCTCCAAAGCCCCCCAGAACAACCCAGACAGATCCCCAATCAGCAAATCCGGAAAGTCTTTAGCTAAGCCAAAAGAAACTGCCATGAGAATGATGGAAATTGCAGAACCCCCCATTTCTGCTCACCAAGGGGAAAGAACTCCAGCCTACACCACAGGTCCGGTGGACGCCTCAGAGGACAGCTCGGAGGGCGAACCCCTGGTAAGTGGACACATCACACCCATCCTCAAGACAGTGACTATATTAATCCCCCCCATGCCCGAAGCTGTAAATGTGAAAGCCTTAATAGACTCTGGCTGCATCCGCTGCCTCATTAGCCCAACACTAGTGGGGAATCTGGGCATCCTATCGAGGAGACTGGAACAACCAATCTCATTTGGCCAGTTAGATGGATCCATAGCAGGGGGGGTGCCAGCTATCCTACCCACTCTACCAATACACCTCTTCCTGGGCAAACATGAGGAGGAAATAACGTTTGTGGTGGCCCCAGGCATGGAATGCCCAATGATCCTAGGGATGGAATGGTTAAAAAAATGGAACCCCTGGGTAAATTGGAGGACGACAGAAATCAAATTCCCGAAGGGGGACTCTATGACTTAAAACCCCAAGGGGGGCTACCAGAATCAAGAATAGAAAAAGCATCCATGGGAGAGGAAAAGGGACTAACAGAAATACCAGAGGAATACAGAGAACTTGCTGAAGTTTTCAGTGAGGAGAGGGCGAATGAGCTCCCCCCCCCACCGACCCACAGACTGCACCATTGAATTCAAGCCTGGGGCAAAACTCCCGAAGCCCAGATTATACTCCATGAGCCCAAAGGAGAAGGAGGAAATGGAAAGATTCATAAAAAAAAAAAACCTAGAGAGAGGTTTCATTGAGCCAGCCAAGCTTAAAGTGGCTGACCCGGTCCTTTTTAGAGAGAAGAAGGATGGCTCTTTACGTTTATGCGTGGATTATAGGGCACTGAATACAATCAGTGAAAGCAACCTATATCCTCTGCCCCTC